TCCTTCCGAGGAGTGGCTGGTGCGTTTGAACCGCCAGCCTTCTGGTTAGCAGTCAAGTGCTTTAGCCACTATGCTACCAGAGCTCCTACCTTAGAAGACTAAAAATGGGATTCAAAATAATGTAAGTAAAGATGCAGGCACAGAGCTTGGCACATGGTCATCAGTATCACAGCACAGATAGCTGTGTGATATCTCCCCTCCAAAACACGACTCCCTGAGGGGGTAAAATGTCTCTTACTCCTCTTTATCCCCAGAGCAGCAGACTAGGTGCTCAGCATAAACTGGCTAAATTAATGCCCAGCCTCTCCCACAAACTTCCATTAACTATTCAAGAACAATTATAACCCAAGGCTTTATGATATAGGTCTTTGGGGTTTCTCAAAATATATCATGCATTTTAGTTTCATGATTCCTGGATTTGCTGTTGGTTTTAATCATCACTCCTGATACAAAATCGACCTAAAACCTTTGATTAGCCCAAGGACGTTATTCTTTTTTTCTGACATTTCAATGCCTCTGCTCTTTTGTTGTCTTTCAGATTCTTGCTTTTAGGCATTTCATGATTCAGTGACATCTACAACAGACAGCAGGCAGGGGACATAAAAATAATTGATCCTTAAACTATTTAGTCTATTTTGTCAGGAGGTCTGGTAAGCAGGTTTTATGAAAGGTTGAACTAATGTTTTTGCTGGGTGCCAGTGAGGTGGTTCTGACTCACAGCAACCCTGTGTGCAACAGAGCGCAACACTGCCCGGTCCTGTGCCAGCCTCACAGCCATCGCTAGGCTTGAGCCCATTACTGCAGCCACCATGTCAGTCGCTGAGAGTCCTCCTCTATTTTGCTGACCCGCTACCCTTTCTACCCTCTATCTTATTGGTCCGGTTGTGAGAATTTTTGTTTTCTTTATGTTAAGATGTAATTCATATGGGAGACTACAGTTTTTGATCTTCATCAGTAAATGCTTCAAGCCTTCTTCACTTTCAGCAAGTAAGGTTGTGTCATCTGCTTATTATAGGTTGTCTTCCTCCAATACTGATTGTTCTGGTTACTTCATGCTACTCTATCAGAAATACCACAGCATAAATCACGGCTTTAACAAACAGGGATTTATTCTCTTGCAGTTTGGGAGGCTAGAAGTCTGAGTTCAAAGTCCAGGCTCAAGGGGCTGGGTGAAGGTCCTTTGTTCTCGGGCTTCAGCTCTGCCTCCTGCTCGCAGCCCACTGAAGCTGGAGGCTTTCTTCACTCTGGAAGCTGCTGGCTGCTGAGGCTGACAAACCCAAGGTCAACAAGTAAAAAGGTACAGTCCCAATATTACCAACCACATGGCAGGCCACTGATTCAAGTTCATTAACAGTGCCAAGATTGGTAGACAACATGGCAGGCTGCTGAATGACGACTCGGCTACGTATAGGATTCAAGCATGCCAAAAGCTGCTAAGACCTTTCTCAAAGTGCCTTCTTATACACCGGAAGCTCACCACATTCCTAAGGCAGCTACTCAACTGCTCCAGTAGATTCCACCATAGGTTGATTACCAATCTCACCAGCTGCCCAACCACTCAAAACCAGGCCCAGCCAGGTTGACACACAACCTTAACTACCACACTGATGTCACGTCCTTCTTCATATAGTCAGTCCAGTTTCTTGGATTATTTGCTTAGCATACAGACTAAATAAATATGGTGGAAATATACAACCCTGATGCACCCCTTTCCTGATTTTAAACCATGCAATATCCCCTTGTTCTGTTCGAACAACTGCTGTCTCTTGGTCTTGGTCTATGTGTAGGCTCCACATGATCATAATTAACTGTTCTGGAATTCTTACTCTTTGCAATATTGTCCATAATTTGTTATGACCCACATAGTCAAATGCCTTTGCATAGTCAATAAAACACAAGTAAACATCTTTTTTATTTTTATTCCTTTTTTAAATTTTGACCCCAGTCGCTACCCACCAATGTAGGTCATAGAGCAAGATTTTTATGTATTTTGTTGTGTCAATTGAGTCTGGTGTCCCCCAATACTATGGTCCTGGGTCAGTAGATCCATTGGATCTCTCTCCCACAGTGTCTGGCTGTCTGTGAGGGACTGCTCTCTGTCTGTCTTCTGTTGTTTCTGTAAGGATTGTGGGTATTTTATATCACTAGTATCTGTGCAAGATTAGCCTCAGCTGAATCTATCCTTGGTCTAGCGTATAATCCTGTTCACTTACCCCCATTCTGATCTTCTCAGATGTTTATATGTTTATCTGTAGCCTGCTGTTTGGTGTTAATGGTAATACAGTATTATGGATATACTGGTATTAGCCTTTGTCGTCTATATCTTACATGCACAATTTGGTGTCCTCTCTTTCCCCAATGTTAGCATGGTGGTCACAGACTCTTTCCATACCATCCCTTCCCTTGCCCACCTCAGTGTGTCGCCCTCAACTAGCCCAAAATTATTCCCTCCCCTTACCTCCTTACCCTAGAAACCTACAAAGTGAGTTCCCTTCCTTAAACAAACCATTCCTTGTCTTTTTACAGTAATGGGCTCATATAATATTTGTCCTTCTGTGGCTGACTTATTTCATTCAGCATAATGTCCTCCAGGCTCATTCATGTGAGATGATTCACATATCCTTCATCATTCTTTAATGTAGCATAGTATTCCATTGTGTGAATGTACCATAATTTGGTTACCCATTCATCTGTTGA